TTCACTGAGACGTTATTGTGATATACATAAATATATACCTTCATGTTTATAATAATAATATTACTATATATATATATATATATATATCCCGCCGGCCACACTTCTCGTTATTCTCCCCCCTCCCGTCACAACCACAACGCGCCGAACTATATATAAGCGGTCGTTCATATATTTTTTCCTCGCGCTGTATATTAGGTAAATGGATTTTTAATTGAATTACAAATTAACGAGCACTCGACTCCGGGCGAAACAATATTATACATACACACAGCCTATTTATGTAAATGTGCCTCACTATAGCAGCGTATACGTGACGGCCGGTTATATAAACGCAAGAGACACAAATTGGAAAACAACCACGGACAGCGCGAAATGGTAAACAAATTTGGATCTATCGCTTTCTTTTCCCGAAACCGAACAACGCGCTACCTGACATGATCTCGATTGTGACGAAAAACATATAGGTAATATTTTAACATGTAATTATACACGCAAGATTATGCGCTGTAGCTAACAGATTGTGCAGCAATCGATAATATTATGACGTGGTAGGTTTACCTGTTAAATTACGTCACGCGCGCTCGCAAGTCGAGTTACGTCGGGTCGAGCCTACATAATATTATGTATAATAATATAAATATATAATTAATGACATATTGGGCCTTATATGAATTAACGATACATATTATATCTTAAAGTCGAAACATCACCAAACCTTCTATATATATATATATTATATACTCCACTGAAAAAATATTTTAATAATAAAATAATTATAATCATCTAATAACGCGTTTTGGGGACAGAGCGTAGTTAAAAGTATTATTATAATAACACGTACGTCTCACGACTATCGGATTTAATAGGTATTGATAATAATKAAAATACACTCTACGCGTAATAAATATAATATATTCCCGTAGATTAGGTGGACAAAGGTGTAGATTGATATATTTTGGCAAAAAATGTCTTATAGCATGGCTCAAAGTCGTGTACATAATATATGTATATAATAAATTAATATACATTGATTATCTGGCAAAATATTTGGCTACCTAGTTGTAATTTTTTTTTCATTTATTCACGGACACACGATTTATAAAGGCAACATTGCCATCAGGTATACATCATAAATCTAAACATTTTGAAAAATATCACAATATATAGACCACTTATTCCTTAAATTTTGGAAGCCAAAGCTCACGAGAAGACGAGCATCGCTTCGTGTTTATGCACATTATTTCACGCGTATAAAACCAAATATAGCATACAATTATATCAATAAGAAAACCAGAAAATATGTGAACATTTTCATGAGAAAAAACTATCTTACTCACGTCTTACAAACACGCATGGCCACACGAATGCACGCATTGAGTCTKAATTGATTTTTCGTACACTAAAATGAGTTATTCAGTGATCGTGAAATTGGTGTAAAGTGTGTAAAGATTATATCGATAAGACATTCGTAGACTTCGACGAATATTTTAGACATTTATAGTGCAAACATATTTATGACACATTAAAAATGTAAGAATCAGTTTGGCCACGGAAAAAATAACTAAGTGATATAAATGAATAACTATCGTATGGTAAGATCAAAAACTCGAATTTATACTAAAAAAAAAAACAGCTATTTGTTTAAAAAACAATATTCTAAAAGAAACATTGTATGGATTTACAGATCACCTGCTAACTGTATGTTATTTTAAAAACTATAAGTTATAATCCGATGTACAACATTCTATATATTCTTAAGCTTCACATAATGTTAAGAAGTATTAGTTTACCAAATATAAACATTATACTAGTATGTGAAAGTATATTTATTTTGAAATCAATACAAAAATCCTTAGTAGGTACACAAAGCTTAACTACTCAAAAACTGAACTTATGAACTTCTATTTGGATACAGTACAACGTCCATAAAAATAATCTGGCCAACCATTTAAAGTAAATATAAGAAGGTACTCAATTTAAAAAAGAAAGTTGATATCATCACTAGAAACACCTTAAATTGCCTAACAAACTTAAGTAATTGTATCAGAATTAATACAAATACCTTTAGTTAACGAAAAAACAGGGRTAAGGTCACTTAATAAATCACCATATATATATAGGTCACGAAACAGGGTCCGCGATGGCGATTGACTTCAGAACGTTTTGACCGCGGTAATGGTATATATAATAATATGTAAATCGTAATTAGTGGTGCCTAGTGTTCCGTACGTAAATAATATAATATTATATGATACAGATAGAATTATTTTCATTTATTATAGTTTWTCGTTAATACTTTTACTATATATTCCGAAAATCTGATGAAAATAATAAATTAGGGGTACAACACAGGGTGTCTAACAGAGCATTAATCTTTAAAATCAATCTATACACTTCATTTTCATACTAATTCAATACCCAATATAAATTAGTTAAGTTTGGCCGTTAAAACATTCACACGATTAATTTTTTTTTAAYTTTGATTTTGGTAAAACGAGAAACTTGACGAATTCAAATTCAAACTATTATTAATATACAGTATAGGGTATATATAGTTAACTGCGGGTCTCTATTTAAGTGCAGCAGTAATAGTTTTCCAAAATCATGTTCCAAAAATATTAAATAGACAAAAGTTGGAAGCTATAATGTTATAATATATTATAAATACTTTTTTGAATAAAATTTTCATTACGATAATATCCCATCTGTATAAATTATAATTATAATATATTGCGTTCGAAAATTACAATAATGTATGATGTATATTACATATATATATATATATATATATATATATGACATCATCTATAATGAAGATATTGGTAGTGTATAGGACATAATGCTGATTTCGCTCGGTGTGTTAATTAAGGCCTTGGACCGGTTAAAACGAAACTGGGAAAAAATAAATAAGCTCATAGGCACTTGCAGCAAAACATACCTTCACATAAAAACTGCTGGCACTAAAAAATACCGATCCTTGGCGATACCTCGAGTGCAGCGGTGTAAAATATGACTTAGGTACTACGGCAGACGGATAAAAYACAAGATAATCTTTTTCTTATCGCGAATAAGCTCGCAAATGCACTTGCCCTTATATGTTAAAATAAAACTGTTTTATTCGTATATACGTATACGTCATATAATTTATAACTTATAACATTAAAATATATTATGTATTATACATCATTGCCATGTAGTTATAGGAGTTTTTAGTCGATCACGTACTCCCGATGAGCGGTGGCGGTTATAGTTGTTGTAATGTGTGTGGTGGTGAGTGGTAAAGTGGAACAAGCCACTAAAAAATCCTATACAGTTGACACACATAGTCTAATGTGTATATATATATACCTATGTATATTTGAGTATCCGAGTGTGTTGGGTTTATAAATGTGACGTGCGAGAGTACCCATCATATATATATATATATATATATATATATATGTATATGAAAGTATATACAATATAATATATATGTTATTATAAGCCTCGCGGCACTCTCTTGGTTAACGTACCTATGTTAATATATATGTGTATGTGTATGTGTGCGTGTGTATATATATATTCAGAATCTGGTCGTGTAGTATGCATATATATATATATATTATACAATGCGCAGAGGAAAAAGCTCTGCGCTCCAACCGCAAATATCCATTTCGGCCAAATGTGCGGACGGAATACGGTCACCAAATTATCGTGACACACTACAGCTGCTGCTGAAGAGTGTATGTAGGTACTTAATAATAATATAAGAACCAATGAAGAAAAAAAAAGAAAWATAGGTTTACGATTTATGAAAATAAATARGCGAAATTTATCGCTAGTCATTACGYTTGTATAKTACTCAGTGTAGTAACTCAAGAGGCTACATATCAATACGCMGAGCACAGTGGATACGGAAGTTGAAACAATATTATCAGARTGTCCAGGTGAAGACTATAAGAACTTTATCAGATTGTTCGATCGAAGATTATAAGAAATAATTTACGATTTACTGTTATCACTCGACGATTAAGTTATCAACAATTATTGCGGTAATAACTATAATTATGAAACACAAAAATATTAACTACCGAAATACTTTAACTTAGTATTATATATGTCATCCAATGTTATTTGAAAGTTTTAAATTCACTTATTGGGTAATAAGTATTATAAGAATTAACGGTATACGATGAGACATTTTATTAGACCAACTGCTAGGATGAACGCAATGTGTTATTGTCACGGACATTGAGWAGTCGGACGACACAATAAGATTTTCTTAAGTTGCATTCCGCACAATAAATATCGTCCCCGAAATCCTGAACTAAAATAAGAATTAATGATACTATAAGAGTACAATGCAAAAAATGTATTTTTCTGAGAACGCGTCATCTAAAATATTATCATCAAAAYATTATTCGTCTCCACGRTTGAACTCGGCGCGACCTGCTTTGGACGTCTCAAAAACGTACGATGATCAAATTATCATAAACCACGTGGACTAATAATATATTATATTATTGTTCCAGACTATACGACCAAAATATGGGTACTTATAAGTTTTCTCAAGACCCGTTGAAGCAATCGTCAAAGTACAAAACCTCATTAACACGCTATTATTATCATGTATAGGCGCAGCGCATAACATCTCTCGGTTGTGTTATGCACCTATTATATATCATATAACAGTATAGCATGGTATGGTATAGAGTCAAATCCGCGTACGCGTATCGGTTTTAAAATTAATTCGATTGAACCGACAAAGTTTGGCGAGCAAAATATTCAGCCGCAGCCGTTACGCGGAGTATTATATTCAACGTATACATATATTAATATCATTGTGTTGTCGTACAACTATACTTTAATATAATATATATGGTCGACTGGAGTGTGCAATTTCGATTTTCACCACTACCGTAAACTTTAGCGAACAACCGAGTCAACTCTAACAAGCGCGTAGTATATACGCATATATATTGTGTTTTATTATTATACGTATTATTCTGAAAGTACGTTACCGGTGGTAAACAGTCGAAATTCWAAAGACGTTATGAGCACTATTGTGTTGTTTTGTTCAAATTACCTGAAACATAAAAAACATTACAAGTTTAATATACATTTCGCTTTGAATCGATATAGCTGAATACATAACGTATAATAAATATTGGTTCGCTGAATATTCAATGAGTGAGTGATATGGCGATTATGTGTTCATGAAATCTCACAATTTACCTATATAACAATGCATACCATACCTATATGTGAGTAGCTAAGTATAAGCACAGTATATAATTATAAATACACCCACAATTGTAGACGACCTATAAATTACTATAGTATAGTATGGGTACGTGATTTCCGTGGCACTCGGCCGGAAGAAAAATTGTCGACAATAAAACGCATTCATTACGATACATTATTATATTATCGTAGTGTATGATATTGTTATGTAGACCGATTTGTACAAATGATCGTCTATTGTTGTGTACCGTACTAAGGAATACGCTCCGTTGTTACAGTCCGTGTAATTACTCCTCCAGCGTCGCCTTTGACGCGTAAAATATCATATACGATTTACAATACACTGYAACAGCGTTCATTTTGTACACACAATGTCAGCTAAATATTGTTCTAATAGTATGTGAGAAAGTTCAGAATATCCGGCAACACTTACGCATAATATACATTGCAGCATTAAATAGTTATGTGCAATTGAAAAATAACGGCTCGGTCCTTGTTGTACAAAATATTRTTTACATTATAATAGTATCATATGGTACTGGTGGTTGCTGCGGTAATGGTATTGGTGATGAGGGGGGAGGGTGCAGTGATGGAGGTCGGTATTAGAGCGGCGGCAACAGCAGCGGCTTTAGCAAAAACATACAGGGTGATAATTTTTGAATCGTTATCTGGGAAATCTCACCTACGAGAGTATAGGTACAAGAAGTCATCTTAAATTGTATTAAACCGATAAGCAACAATAATTGTTTTTTTTTTAATTTTACATATACCTATTAAAGTATTAAATTCTACGATTATTTTTGTATACATTTATAGTAATTTATTATCGTCATCGAACAGGTAGAAGGTACACAAAACAATCATCCTGTATGATAATATATACGCACTACACAGCGAGAGCAGTGCTATATATAATGTGAGCTTATGCGATGGCGGGAACGAGGACGTATACCAAGCACGAGCACGAGCATATTACACACGCGCACATTTAATGACCATATTCCGGACGCACATGGGGACTGATGAAGCTATTCATGAAACAAAACTCTCGCGGTGGTGGTGACGTACATTCTACGATAATAATATAATATTTTATACCTCGGTTATGGTACAATATAGCGGCGGTATACCGCGTGCACGACAAACGTGACGACCGATTTGAAAATCGTCATCACATGAGTTAAGCTCCCCTCCGCCCCGACCACCACGAAAAGGGAAAAGAATGATGTTCACTCCCCTAGAAACACGTCCAAACGCAGCCGCCGCCGCACACTACACCAAAATCTGTACCAGAAACCGCATTATGATGTTATACATATATATGGAGTGCTTTTTGCCCGCTACAACAAATAATCCTTTCCGAGAGAAACCTCGTCGATCATGTGTGACGGCGTACATCATACAATAATAATACTTACTGTACCAACGCAATATATATATAAATACGCGTTACGTGTGTCGCACAAGTGCAGCTCTATATACGTAATATATTATGTACACGAGACGACGACGACGACGACGATATAATGACGTAGTTTGCGTAAAATATTTTTATATTACACATACATATTGTGTCGTGTTTATAATATTATGTGTTATAAGGGATTTGCACCATCGTAAACGATGTGTCGGGCGAAGGATATTGTTACATTATTATTATATTATGACGATGTCGGTCCGACGGGCGACACTGCAGGTGCACCGGCGCGTACACTATATTCACATCCTGCACAACTCCCTGCTGAGTGTTTTTCGCGGTTTGGTCTGAGTATAATATATTATTATCATATATTGTTCAAAAAGGTTTACAAAAGTTGACGTTAAAACAAACAAATAAAAATAAAATAAACCGCAGAGATAGTTGAAGACGTGTATTTTATTTAATTTTTCTATCTCTCCCCATGTACGACAGTCATAATAACAATATATAGAAATATCATTATGTATATGTATATTGTATACTATACTATAAGTCTATACCGTAGTCTGCAGTATAGTCATGTGTTAAAAAAATATCACGCAAAATAAAAATAAATGTTTCATCGTAAATAAATATGTGAATACGGTATACGACATATACTATACATAAAAAAAATATATATACATAAATGCTTAAAATAACAAATGCATTGATCAAAATATCTATACTGTGTGGAGCACCGGGATGAGTCGTCGAGGTAAACAATAATCATAATAGGTAATACACGTATTTTTCCGTGATATATGCGGCATTGTCGTATAACAATATAATATCATACATATTACGTTTGCCTATATTATTTTTTCAATACATCATTATTTTGATTATTATTTTTTCTTTTTAATAAAATACAGTCGGCGCATCGTATGACCTACAAATCTATATAGCATGCATTGGAATAAAATTGCATAAGACAAATTATCTGAGTGCACGCTATTATTATGTGACATTCTTAGTACCTACAGAACCGTGGTATAAACCAAACATATATCGCCGWGTAAACAATATATCTATATATCATGCACTTGAATATATTATTATTATACTATAAGTGAAACGATGAAATGACGAAGAGTGTGCCCATCAACACTCAACACGCAGACCATCACATTGTGGGGTTTTGTACTCGGGTTTCACAGGTGCCGTTATTATATAATCAACTTTTTTATTTTTTCTATAAGCGTCTAATATTATGCATCGCTTAATAATTAAATACACTATTCCGAGAGCCAAATATGCGTGTGGGTTTTCTAAAGATTTTCAAAAAGAATAAACAACTTAAAAATATATTATACAGAGTGATTCTTCAAGCTAAACTACATTTCTGTTTTTAATAATACTTCATGAAAAAATTGAAATGTTAGAATACAGTTATAGATAATAGCATATTTTTTATATTTTTATACCATTCAAGGAGTATCGCGGGTGGCAGAACATAAAATTCACAAAATTCTTGTATTTCCATAACAGAACTTTTTTTGTTGTACATTTATTGTTTATCAAGATGATGCTCTTGAAAAATTTGTTTAAAATTCAAATACGAGTAGTTTCTGATTCATTAAATTAYTGTATAGTTACTATACGGATTGAGGATGAAATTCAATCATAATAGATGATTAAGATAACGTGGAACCTATACTATATAATTTGAAAAATATAATATTAACATTTATTTATTAAAATATTGTATTTTTTTAAATTTATCTACTCTAAATAGTAAATATTATATCTATTTTATGTGTTATGTAAAATAGTTTTTAATAATTCCTATTTTCCATAAGCTTAATAACCTAGAAACTAAGCTCGTTTGCATTTTGATGAGTTCATCACCGACATTTTTGAAACAATCATTTGCAGATTACTGTTGAAATTGTAGTTTTAACATTAAAAAAAAAGTTAATATCACCACAGAACACAATTTTAATGATATAAAATCTATGTTTTATGAAAATATGGTCCTTGAGTAAACTTAAAAATTACAAAGATCAGAATTTGAATAAAATATGCATAGCAAAAAAGATAAAAGGTGTTTGGAAGTGTGCACGCATGATTGGTGAATAAACCTGTGCTCGTATATCTATAATGATAGTAATATTACAAACTACCATGGTTTTATACTGCGAATCTGTACTATATGTTATACATAATGTAGGTAGTATTATCATTCATGTATGTGYGTGTATTTGTTTTATTTTAATACATATTGTTTGCCTTCGTGATAATTTAAAAAAAAGAGAGATGTAATTCCTACCCTACATAATATCTGCAGTTTGGCGCATAATTAAAGTGAGTCGACACACATTTCTATTGTAACGCAATTGTCTTCGAGACAATAGGCTTAAAAAAAAATAAAAAAGACAAGATGAAACTTTTTTGAGATATCAAGAAAAATAATTTTGTATATGTATTTAAATTAAACAATTTTAAATTTTCAAAGGATTATTAAGGACATTCAACGAGAATAAATCGAGTTTTATTCGTGCATCCCACATTATGTATACGTATAATACATATATAAAATATATACTTTTGTAAAGTTTGTACAGACCCTTGAGACAATTTACGTATATTTCATACGAATAAAAGTTTTCTATGAAAATCATGTTCGTTCATCGAAAAACCTGAGCAATTAGCGTGGCATATACATTTACGGAAACGAGAGTGAATATAAAAGCGTATTATTGAATCACGGGYACTTCARTTGAATAAAAAACACAATGCAAAAYATCGTGTTTTTGAGCGCAACAATGCAGAGTAGATTTCGATCCACCRATATCGATGAGAAACATGTTATGTTTTTAAGGCGTTACGAATATCGATRTAATAATAATWATTATTATTATTATTATACTCCGCAGCGCTTTWCGGTAAGATTTTCGTTCCCGCCTGCAGATCAGTCCAATATTGTGTTTGGAGTTAATAAAATCGATGGTTCAAACACTATATACATATTATACTGTATAGTTGTTGTAGTACGKTATAAGATATTATACGTCATGTTTACATTATATTTTACCCGTTTCCGACCGAATTTTTTCCGCCGTCTAAACCAAAAACTYTGTACGCTTTGTATTGTTTAGATGGGCCCTGCACTGGTTATTAATAATAATAATTTCGTATACAGATTCATTGTGCGCTCAAACAATATCCGACTTAAATGCATACACATATGCGTATATGTGTCCGCTGTAGCATATTATACGCGAGTTGAGTGTATGTATATTATTATTATTATTATTGTAATACGTATGTATGCGTACCACAATTTTGGTGGCGTTGACAAAAGAACGCATTTATATACATATATTATTATAATATA